TGGCAAAAAAACGTTTGCCGAGTCAGCTAGTTGTTTAATACAATTTTAAAAAGTTGTCCCCTATATGTGTTCAAATACAGTATTTGAACACATATAGGGGACAGGGGGCGATTGTAAAGACACGCTGTATATATAACACCCAGACACTGGAAAAACACTATGTTCATCACACAATATTTTTCCAGTAGTCGGGTCGTCAATTCAATTAATCGAATACTGTTGACAAAATGACTGAAATGAAAAAGTAACTTCGACATATACATTGTTAAGCGGCTTACCTAATGGTTGGTAATCTTCAAAGTTTTTACAAGTTCGTAGCCAGTTTTCCAAAAAAGGACGGCTCTGTTTCTAAAGGTTCCTTCGAAAAACCACCGCCAAATACCACTACTATCAACTAACTTGACAAAGTAGTGGCGCGGCAAAAATTTATGTGAATGGTGACTTTTTTATCATGTACGCTGATAGAATTTCACTGGAATCCATCCGAATAATTTATAAGAACATCATGAACTATCAAACAAAAGTACATGAGAAACAGGCCAAGTGCGAGAGTCTCACTCGCGCACGAAGGGTTCCGACAGTTAACTATAAAACTGCAAAAAAATCACGACTGAAAATCCTGTTTTTTTAGTATTTGCATTATTTAGTATTTATGGTAGGGCCACGCGGCAGCCTCGCCTGTTGTACGAATGGGCAGGCCCGTCCGTGTAAGTACCACGACCCCACAGAAGACCAGCGTAAAGTGGAAGTATGACAACTACTTTCGCGTTTCGTCTGGTGAGTGAGGTAGCCGGAGCCCAATTTTCAAAAGGTTGTCAACGCATCTGTCTCTGGTGTGGTAGATGTCCATGGGCGGCGGTATTCACTTAACATCAGGTGAACCGTCTGATCGTTTGGTAACTTTTCACATTAAAAAAAAATTGTTGTTATAGCGGCAACATAAATACATCATATGTGAAAACTTCAACTGTCTGACCATCACAGTTCATGAGATATACAGCTTGGTTACAGACGGACAGACAGACAGCGGAGTCCTAGTAATAGATTTCCGTTTTACCTTTGGGCACGGAGGCCTAAAAAGGATAGAGTTGTGCTGTATGTAACACAAGGCAAAATTATTTTATCAACCATAGTCAATTTGTGATCTCTTCAAACAACACTGTTCTACATACCGTAGATTTAGACACGCGTGAAGTTTGTTCGGAAATCAATGAGAACGGTAGAAACGTACGAACCGAAACAAAGTCTGAGCTCTTGGGAAGGATAATAAGGTTCTTTCGCTTCGATGGCCCCGGGGTTAGGTGGAACGAAGTGTGACGTTTCGTTTGTAGACATTATTGAATTTGACTTATTGGCGCTGCGGACGCCCCACCTGAGGCGAATAGAGAAATGCATGGAGGCGTATTATTTCTTAAAATATTATTATTTATTATTTTAATCTTAATTTACTATTATGGAAAATGTTGTGAGATGAACTGAGTTTTTTTTCTAGTGTCCGAGATTTATTTATTCTACAGGTTCACCAACGTACGTCATATATCAATACTAAACATTAAAAAGATGAAACTTAATGCATATTTACTTGTATATGTGACGAAAATTTACAGGCGTACACGATAAACACAAGATACAAAAAAGAAATCGAAAAAAATGTATATATATTGTTAGAGGAATAGTGAGACAACGTCACCATGGAGGGAAGTGTGCGGCACCGTTAACTTGTTTTAAGAAGAAAACCTCTGCCCGATGGAAAATGTCAAACTGCTTATGTTCTGATTTTGAATTGGATAAAATGTGGTCTCATGTAATTTTCTTACAGAATTAGTAAGAACTTGAATTGTTTTGGTTTTTGGAATTGATTTGGCTTTGTTGAAACATAAAAGTCATACTTTGTGTATATTCTTTATTTTAATTACATTCCACCTCTGGTTCCTAATAATATATATATATAGATAGCATGTACCTGACATCACTAAAATTACGATTGTCTACGGACAATTGTCTGCTCCGCAAAATAACCTCTCTCTTTTTACGCTTCAGGACTGCTGTAGCCGCAAACACAATGTAGTAAACGGTTATAGGCTACATCGTGTGTCGAAATGGACAATTCCATTTAAATGCTGATTTAATTTAAACGGCTGGTTGGCCACTAGCACTAACGATAGATATCTAAGTTTAGAACTACATTTTGTGAAAAGTCTTCGAGCTAACATATGGCTTTACTAACTAGCGCTGCCGATTGACATTTAGGCCACTGAGATTTTGCAGATGTATTGCAAGCCTTAAAAAAAGGCTTTCCCTTCCTTGGCTCTGGTTTTTTACTCTTTTGTAATATAAAAAAAGGTTGAGAAAGCAGCAATCGTGTACATTATGGCAAGTACAGCATTGATTGTTCTTAACATTACGATAAGTTTTATTTTTAATGCCAGTCTATTAAATACCAGCTGCTAACCGCGACATTGTCCGCGTGAAATTTATCAAAAAATGTTTGATCAGTTCGCATATTCCGATAACATTGTTTACACATATTTTAGTAGCATATAAATAATTTAGAATGCCTGGCCGTAACTCTCAGAAAGCTATTAAATGTGTTTCAACTGGTTTTATCAAATTACAAACAATGACTTTAAAATTTATTTCGCAGTTATTTAAACATTCAAAAAAACACTTCGTTTTTATTTCGGTTTAGAGTTTGTGGGTTTTAATTTTTTTTTAAAGGAACCCTAATTCTTTTTGCTAAAATATAAGTACCCTATGTCACTACAACAACAGATGCCAGCGAAAGCACCCGTTAAATCAGTGTAAAAGTATTTTCACTACTCGATTAGTTTTTCATAAAATTAATCAAATAGGTTGCGAAAACATTTAGTCAAATAATTTATGCGATCTTATTAATAAATGCCAATCCGCAGAGGGGCCGCGTGGCGGACTAAGCCCTGATACCCTCTGTACAGAGGAGGCCTTTGCCCGGCAGTGGAATATGTATAGGCTGTTACTTTACTTTATTAATAAATACAAAAACACGAGAAATACACTATGTATATAGTTTTTGTTTGATTGATTTCAAATGTTAATCTATCAATGAGAACCCTACATAATTCTAATGTATATTTTGTTAAAGTTATTTTCATTTGGTTTGTATTTTAATTATGTATTTATGTTCTTTTGCTTTACTATATTATTTATTTATTTATATAAAAGTATTTCTTTATATTTCCTTTATTTTTTGTTAAACTTAGTTTTTTTTCTCTTTTGTATGCGTCTTCTTTTTGGGTAGATAAATGTATTTTCTTTCTTTCATATGCCATCAGAGCTTTATATTTATTCAAGTAAATAAGAAAATGTAATATAATCTGGTTCTAATATTTACGAACTTCATCGCATTTCACGCCACAGCTAGGTCTAACACTGTTAGTGTTAGATACGCCAAGAATATAAGTTTAAAATTAAACGAAATAAAATCAATTCATGGCTCCATCTAAAAATGTTCAATGCTCGCATACTTACAAGAAATTAATTAAAAAGTGTAGTCAACGCAAAAGGTAGGAGAAAAGCCAGTCAAATTTCATTATTTTAATCTTCGAAACGGCGATTGCTAGGAAAATTATGACCCGCATTAAAAAATTCGCCAATCGCGTTGGACCAATAAAATATTTGAAATGTTCCTTTTTCCATCGCTAATTGATCCAAATTCGATTAGTCAGTTCCGTGGCCCCTCTGATATTTGATAGGCAGGTCCGCCGTTCCGAAATTAATTACGATTCAGAATTTCGTTTGTGTCAACTTTGCAAGTTGCTCCACACCTGCCATTCCGGGCTTTGCGAACTGAATTTCTTTACTCGTTAATCGCTATTTGACTTTTGAAAATCAGCTGGTGGGAACAAATTCAATATTCCGCCCTTATTAATATTCCGATTTAGTTTAGTGTGCTTTTATAAGGCTTGCTATGTTCCGCGGGACACCAACATTAGGATGTTACGTCATAACTTAGGACCGTTGTAAAGGTATTAAAATACTTTCTTATTCATGATTAGACCCGAATGAACATTATGAAGTCAAAGGCAATATACCAATATATCTAGCGAAGTGTTTCATTGTAGAATGATTGTGTGGAAATCATGATGTCAACTCCTATCACATTCTCGTAAACTAACAGCTCAATATAATATTATAATTTGAATAAAGACTCGAAGTGGTTAACGCTTCCATTTGTTAACATTGTATGTTGTTAGAATCCTCAGTGACGTCACATTCAAAGTAGTTACAAATATCGGATTATTTGTTGAGATGAAACCGTCTTTAATAATAGGGTAGGGCCGTTTCTAGATATTGCATGATCCGAATTTGGCTTACTAGGGAGACTCTATTTATTACTTATTTTCGCTATTACCAACCAGAACTATGATTAGAAAATATAATATATTAACAAAGAAATTCTAAAGATACATTCAATAAAGTTAGCGTTGGTCTGAAATATCGTGTATATAGCGATGTGATTATTTTCGTTCAATATTTATCGTCTGTGAAGTCATAGTTTCGTCCCGAGTATTTTCCAGTATTTACGTGGAAAAATCAACAATACAGAAAAATAAAGATGTTTTACTCCTGATTGTTTAAAGCAAATTAGGTAAATTTTCTGTCTGTTTTTTACGTCTGCAAATTTAAATGTCTTAAAATATATTGAATTAGAGCTAGTAACATACGTGTTAATCTTAAATATATAATAAATATTTAATCTGTAATTGTAGATTCATTACGTTTACAAAATAGCGGTGGGATCAATTGAAATTGATTCAATTATATGAATTCGAGAATCGTATATAAATTTATTTTCTGATATCATTGATCAAAATATTAGAACTTTGACAAACCTTTTATTCGTGAAGGTAAAAGGATTTTACATTATCTTATGATTCAATTTCACGTTTTTAAAAGTCATCCCGAGTTTGATCATTACCTATATTATTCTTATTACAGAAGCTAATCCAATTCAGACGTACCTGAATGTTGTTGTCGTCGATTACCAACTTCTGCGTGCCGTTGTACCACTCTATTCGGGCGGCTGGTCTAGCGCCGGACACCTCGCACATCAGGGTGAGCAGAGTCCCTTGCGTCGCGTGCTCCCCGACGCCGGATATCGAGATTTTGTTCGGCGGGACTGGAAGGAAAAAAGAGCAACCCTTGACAGTCCATTCTACATTAAGTATCAGCCTATACATGTCCCACTACTGAGCAAAGGCCTCCTCTGTACAGAAGGTATTAGGGCATAGTCCACCACGCGGCCCCATTGCGGATTGGCAGACTTCACATATATTCGAAATATATTTTTTTTATTATTATTTCGAAAATATGGAGGTTTCGTCACGATGTTTTTCTTCACCGCCGAGCATGTAATAATTCAACACTCGAAATTAACAATTTCCTTGGTGCATTTAGAATATTGAATTAAAGGCGAGCGCCCGGACACTGAGCTATCACGGCTCTCATTTACACATTCTACATTATTCATTACATTCAATACATTCCTATTTATATGAACGTTCTTACATTTAGATTTGTTTGAACATGTTTATTTTTAGGGTTCTGTACTCAAAGGGTAAAACGGGACCCTATTAATAAGTCTATCTGTCAGTCAGTCTGTCACGAGGCTGTATCTCATGAACCGTGATAGTTAGACAGTTGATATTTTCACAGACGATGTATTTGTGTTGCCGCTAAAAAAGATAGTAAAAAACAGAATAAAATAAATATTCAAGTGGGGCTCCCATACAACAGACATGATTTTTATGGCGTTATTATTGACAATGGTACCATTCGAGCGCGAGTCCAACTCGCTATTGTCCGGTTTTTTTTTAATTTAGGAAGAAGTATCTTCCGAGAACAGAATTACATATAATGCAGTAAATAAGAGGGTGAAATGCGCAGTAATTAGTAATACGTATTTTCGTACAACATTAACACAATAATATCTATTTTTTTATAGGAGACTGATGATCTGTAACAATAGAGATTGCTAGTTTGTTTCCCTCACTGGAAGAAGCAGAACATTTATTTTCTCGTTACGATACACGGTTTTTTGCGGAAGATCGCATCTTAGCGTTCTAGAGTTCCTGGCTGACGAGACAGAGAGCGCAATGTCTGCGCTAATCAGCTGTCTAATGGCTTTTCTAATGTTCTTTGAGTTGCCAAAAGGATTGTTAAACTCTCTGAATTGATCAAAGTGATGTTCTTAATAATCAGAATGATCGGGGCTCTAATATACCCCTGTCACTCTCCAGAGCAGCTAGCAGGGGATCCATAAAGCATTCTTCCCATATAAAAATGAAAGTTTATGACACTCTGGGGAAATGTAAGCTTTATAAAAATGAACGCTTCAGTAGACCGATTTTAATTTTCACGTATCAGATAACCAAGAGGAATAAACCATTTGTATAATTATAAATACAAGACAATTAAAACATTTTAAAATCATAAAGTTATTTGTTCAAACTTGATCGTTTGAAGGTAATAGATAATAAATATTGCAGGACATACTTTTACACAACGTTATCTAGTTCCAAACTAAAGAGAGCTTGTACTATGGATACTAGGTAACTAATAAACTTACTTAAACGTCCTTCTCTTTTGTAAATTAAAACATATTAGATATATAAACCCAGAAACTAGAAAAACACTATGTTTATCACACAATATTTTTCCACTATTGGGGATCGAATCCACACCCTCTGGCGCAGGAGATAGGTCCACTATCAAGTACGCTAATTGAGTCGTCAAAGTTGGTCAAAGCTCTTCAATAGATAATCATAAATTTCAAGCATAGTGGAAAGAAAAACATACAAACAAGAAATTTCACTTAAAGTAAAATAGTGGCACTAAAATTCTACCGTGCTGAAGTCCAGACGCGATTTCCAATCGTATTGGATGCGAAAGGACTTAGTGATATGTTTGTATATGGGCTCCGTCACTCCCAATGGTCCAATAACGCCCAACTTGTCCATCTCGTGCGCTCGTGTCATAATACCCTAGTATATGGCCCATGAAGGACGAGTTGGGGAACCGTTGCCGATGTTTCTTTTGAATCCCGAGAGAATAAAGTAATTCAGCGTACACTCGAAGCTTAGAGAGAATAAAGTTGATGGCATTTTATATGAAACCTATGTACATACCCTATAATCCGTTTATATTATAGGGAGAATTCCACGCAAATTCTACATTTCGATGTATAAAAAGTATTAGTGAATGTATCATTGAATGTAAAAGTAGGATAAAGTAATCCCATCCTCCTCGCCACTGTTGTGTATTTAATCTTTTTTTTTTATGTGAAAAGCAGTCGGTTCACCTGACGTTGCAGATGCGTTGACAACCTTTTGAAAATTGGGCTCCGGCTACCACACTTACCAGACGAAACGCGAAAGTATTATACTTCCTCTTTACGCCGGTCTTCTGTGAGGTCGTGGTACTTACCCGGACGAGCCTGCCCATTCGTGCAACAGCCGAGGCCGTTGCGTGGCCGTACCACCGTAGTACCTTTGATTATGCAATTGTAAATTGATGATAATATACTTGTTAGTTGGCAAGTATAAAATCCAAGTATTTAATATTGGGAGCAAGCTAATTCGTGCTCGACCATCGCCTCGCGTAATACATAATTATGTACCCACCCTTACATACATAACAATAAAAAAGGTTATACAACGGTATTTACTTTGATTGGTAGATTTAAATGAGGATGTTGACTTTAAAAAAGTGTATACAAATAATATCAAAGAATTGTGCTTTTATGGTGAGAGCGGAATAGTGTCTCAGTCTATGATCAGTTTTCCCAGGATTTTAATTTTTCGTTGACTCAAATGATAACTGGTTTTATGCCCTGTTTATGAATTGCAAGGTAAGGTAAGCTTTTTTTCTTCATTTCTCAGTCCTAAGTGAAGTAAATATTTATCGAGACAATATAATTAATTACAACAATAGTTTAGACGTCAAATTGCAGGTAACTTTTTATTAATGATTCTTAGAAATTGAACGAAAGGAAAACAAATTTACAGCTTAAAATATCTTTACGGTTTTATCTTTATTACCCGAAATATCTTGATTGATGTCTTTTGAAAAGAGTATTTATGGACCATAAACCGCCAATGCGCTGCTAATTTTGGCCGAGCCTAAATTTTATTGCTACGAGTACCTATACATTATATGTATACTTACAAAATATGATCTTAACCATAAGTTAGACAGAAGGGGACTTAGTTCTTGGCAATGTACATTAATTATTATTATTATTTTTTAGAAAAACATTGCCCTTATTCTAGGATAACATTATCCTGTGTTGTAAGGACGTTTTACAAACATAAATTTCACGCGGACAAACCCCCAGATGAAAAACAACTATCTTTTGGTCGCATGAACACAAATAGTTGTGTGTGTGGGGATCGAACCCACGACCTCGGACGCCGAAGCCAATACCTTGCCAACTGCGCCACAGAGACGTCAACGTATTAGTATATATCTCATCTGTCACATTCACTTATACAGCGTGTCGTTACAACCGCGACAATAAATAAACACACATATAGAGGATAACTTTTTAAAATTGTATTAAGCATTTACATTCTTTAAACATCAATATTTACAGAGTTATAAAATTTTACGTATAAAAATGTAACGTAAAGTTCATTTGTAAAGGTCATACATACACAAAGCATATGAATGGGTTGAATGAATTTAAAAGAGATAAAACATACTGTTAGAAGGAGAGACTTGTAATGCGACGTTGTGGCAACGAATGAAAACGTCTCTGAATGTATGAATCAGTCAGTCGTAGTGGTATAGGATGTTACAGATTTTGTTTCTTTTTTACTTAATTAATTTGTTTGAAAAATATATTTTTTTAAATATGGATTTTTTTAACGTTTTATAATTTTTATGATTATTGGCAAGTAGCGTTAGACGTGTGTTCATTTATTTTCGCGATTGTAACGACACGCTGTATATGTCATTTAACGCCATCTTTAAAACATCATTGCTCGTAACGAAAAACTCTTCTCAAAGAAAAATAAGCACAGGTAATTGCTAGTGTAAGGGGATAATTTTTTCTACTTGGTAAATAGTAAAAAATAGAAAAAAAAAAGCAAACAAAATAGGTACTTATATTTTTTTTAAGGTTTTTACGGTGGTAGGGCCACGCAGCAGCCTCAGCTGTTGCACGAATGGGCAGGCCCGTCCGGGTGAGTACCACGAACTCACAGAAGACCAGCGTAAAGTGAAAGTATGACAAATACTTTCTCGTTTCGTCTGGTGAGTGAGGTAGCCGGAGCCCAATTTTCAAAAGGTTGTCAACGCATCTGTAACCCTCGGGTGTAGCAGATGTCCATGGGCGGCGGTATTAACTTACCATCAATCAGGTGAACCGTCTGCTCGTTTGGCAACTTTTCACATAAAAAACAATCTAAGTAAATTAGACAAAAATGTGTTATAACCACAATAGTCTATGTAGGAATACTTTGATGATTGTGTTGATGATAATAGCTGAAGCTGTAATAGAAATTTTAAGACAATATGAAATTCAGGAAGGCATCATAGAAGGTGAGTAACATTTATAATAATTATGTTATTAATGCCTGGTATAATAATGTAACATAAATCTTTGCTTTATTACACCGTTTCAAAAATTGCTAATCGTTTGGAATTTACTTCACAATAATAATTGCTGTAACAAAGTTATTTTTCAAAATCAAGTTCAAAGCCGTTATTAGCTTATGGGCTGTTCTGCAAAAGCACGATTGATACCAAAATCAGCTCATTTAACTTACAATATGAAAGGTGGACCTTTCATATAGATATACAGAGAGATTTTTTGAGAAGTGACCAAATTTACACAGGAGGTTCAGACTCGGTAGTATAATCTAATATATATAATATAGTATACCTAAATTTTACTGTGCACGAACTTGTGTGCGTGTTAGTTATGAATGATCGCGCGTAAAATAAATGAGTTGCGTATAAATCATGCACTTTTTGAGATAAGTTCAAATGAATGTAATCTATTATGTACGAGTGATTTTAAATATTTATAATTTTTTATAGAACATTATTTATGTCTTTTTATATGTATATATATATATAAATAAATATATATACAGCGCGTCGTGACTATCGCGA